AACATTGCTTCACTTGGCCTTGGACAGTAAGGAGGAAGAAAGAGGTGAATAGGCAAATGTTAGATCTTCTGTGATTGTATGGCAGGGAGCCATGAGGGAGTGAGAAAGCATTATGTGAGATGGAGGAATGGACCGGGATGTAGTAAAGAAAACAGTCCTTGCAGACTGCTGACAGTGGGAGGGAAGAACTGTTTGATAGTGTTGTCCTGCTGAAGGCAGAATCGGTGGAGGATGATCCTTTGAATATAGAAACCATCAGAGTGGAACATGAGGACAAGGGGAACTGTATTCCTCTGGGAGGGAGGGAAAAGGGTGATGGCAGAAGTGTGGGAGATAGTTTGGACACTGTTGAGGGCCTTGTCTGCCACAGTTTTAGGGAATCCTTGGTTGAAAAAAAAGGAGACCATGTTAGAGGCACCCCAGTGGAAGGTGGCATAATTGGAACAGATGTGACAGAGACAAAGAAATTGGGAGAATGATCTGGAAACCTTACAGGAAGCAGTGTGTGAGGAAATGTATTTGAGATAGCTGTGGGTGTCTGGTTTTTAGTAGACATTTAATGGACATATTTTCAGAAATGGAAAAAGAAAGGAGGCACGGTGGCTCAGTGGTTAGCACTGCTGCCTCACAGCGCCAGGGACCCGGGTTCAATTCCACCCTCGGGCAACTGTCTGTGTGGAGTTTGCACATTCTCCCCGTGTCTGCATGTGTTTCCTCCAGGTGCTCTGGTTTCCCCCCACAGTCCAAAGATGTGCAGGCTAGATGGCTTGGCCATGCTGGATTGCCCGTAGTGTTCAGGGATGTGTAGATTAGGTGGATTATAGGGGGACGGGTCTGGGTGGGATGCTCCAAGGGTCGGTGTGGGCTTGTTGGGCTGAAGGGCCTGTTTCCACACTGTAGGGATTCAATGATGAAGTCAATGAAGGGGAGAAAAGTCAGAGATGGACCAGTGGTGAAGTTGAAGGAAACAATTGATTAACTTTCTCAGTTCTGGTTGAGAGCAGGAAGCAGTACCGACTGGAGAAAGATGATGTTTCACAGGATTCAAGGATAGGATTGATTTAGTTAGAGCTAAGGAATATGAAGGGTGCAATTACATTACTCAATGTATTATATAGATCACCAGTTAGTGAGAAGGATATAGAAGGACAATATTGTAAGGAAATTACAGAGAGGTATAAACATCAAGGAGTAATAATGGGTGACTTTAATTACTGGGGCAGAGAGAGATAAGTGCTTCTAGGTTGTGTTCAGGAGAATTTCCTACAGCATGTGTCTTATCCAACAAGAAAGGTGGCATGGCCAGACCTGAATCTTGGGAATGAGGTGGGCCAAGTATATCAAGTGACGGTGAGGAATATTTAGGGGGATCATTCAATCATTGATCATGAGGCTTAGGATAGTGGTAGAAAATTATATCAGTCATCCAGAGTAGGAATAATAACTGGCAGCGAGTGAACTTAATGGGGCTAGAATAGAGCTGAGTAGATGTACTAGAACAAAAGGTTATTGGGAAAAACTGCTGAACAACTCTCTACCTTTTAAAAGAGGAGACAGTTGGGACGCACTCCAGATAAATTCCCTCAAAACGAAAAGGTAGGACAAATGAATCCAGAGCTTCCTGGATGACTAAGGAGTTTAAGAAGTAGTGTCCATTTGACAGACATCAGGAAATAAATATATTTGAGAACCAAGCTGAACACAGAACGTTCAGAAGACCGGTGAAAAAGGGAGAATAGACTGGTAGCTAACATCAAAGGAAATTCCAAAGTTTTGTATAGACATGTCAGTCATAAAAGTCTGGTAGGGACTAAAAAAGGGATTTGTGTTTAGAGGCAAGCGGGATGGCTGAGGTTTGGAATGAATACTGTTATCTGACTTTACATACCTGGATGCTGCCGGGGCCATGATGATAGAGGAGGAAACTGGAAGTCCTTAAAATTGAAAAGGATAGTGTTGGTATTTTAACTTAATAAAGCACCGGGATTGGGTGACGTGCATTTAAGGATATTGAAGGTAGTGGGAGGCACTGGGAATTATCTTTCAATCTTCTGTGGATTCAGGGATAATGCCACACAGTTGGAGAATTGCAGACATTACTGCTTTGTTGTAGAGATTATTCCAGAAAATACAAACCAGTTGGTATAACTTGAGTGATGAAAACATCTAGAAACAATTATTTGGGATAGAATTAATAGGCACCTGGAAAAATGTAGATTAATTTGGAAGAGTCAACATGGATTTGTTCAGGAAAAATTGTCTAACTTGCTGGAGTTTTTTTTTTAAGATGTGGTAGAGAGGTTGATGCGGGGAAGGCAGTTTATGTGTACATGGATCTCGAAAGGCATTCAGTACAGTGCTACACAACAGACTTGTAACAAAAGTTATAGATCATGGAATATATGACAATAGCAACATGGATACAACATTAGCTGAGATAGGAAACAGAGTAGTGGTTAACGGATATTTTTCAAGCTAGAACAAAGTTTGTGGTGAAGTTTCCCACAGTCAATACTGGGATCCTTTTCCTGATGTGTGATATTGATATCGATATTGGTGAGCAGTGGATAATATCAAAGTTTGCAAGACACAAAACGTGGAAAAAATTGTAAACTGAAGACAACATAGAACTTCAGAAGAACATTGAAATGTTGATTGACTGGGAAGGTGAGCAGCAGATGAAGTTCAAAGGACAGATGTGTGAGGTGATGCACTTTGTATTAGATTGGTGCAAAAAATTTGGAGAGACAAAGGGTACTATTCTAAAGTGTGTGCTGGAGCAAAGAGACGTTTGTTTGTTTGTATGTATGTATGTATATCTAAGTTATTAAAGGTGGCAGGAGAGGTAGCAAGAACAGTTAATAAAGCATGCAGCATTCTAGGATTCATAAATAGGCAGGGAATACAAGTGCAAGAAGGTTCTGATGAGCTTACAGAAGACAGTGGTTACACTTTGGCTGGAGTATTGTGTGCATTTCTGGGCATCACATTGTAGGAAGGATTGAGCTCATTAAAGAGAGTACAAAAGAGGTTTATGGGAATGGTTCCACGGATGACACTCTTCAGTTATGATGTAAAAAATGGAAAAGTTGGGACTATTTTCTTTGCAGTGGAGAAGGCTAGAAAATATTTGGTAGGAGTGCTCAAAATTATGAGGAGTCAGGACAGATGGGTTCAGGAAAAATTGTTCCCACTCATAAATGGATTGAGAATCGGAGGGCAGCTGATTTGCAAAAAAAGTCAATGAAAAGTGAGGAAAGAAAATCTCAGCCGATCATTCGCATCTAGAATGCATTACTTGGAAGTGTGGTGGAGGCAGGTACAATTGAGGCATTCAAGAGAGCATTGGGTGATAGAAATAATGTGCAGAGTTAGGGAAAAGATAGGTAATTGGTATTAAGTAAAAATACTCAGTTGGTACAGATGCATTGACTGGCATCCTTCTGCACCGTAACAATTATGTTTCAATCTTGTAGGTGAAATAGACAAATTAACTTACTCCGATTTATTAACAAGAATTATTGTACCATTGTACATAATCTATGTTTCAGATGGATAATTTTAAGAGAAATTTGTAATCCTCAAGCTTATTTTTTTCATTTTTATATAAACCCATATTCATGTTTTAAAATATATGCATTAACTGCTGCACATTCATTGCTTGCTTTTGTTCAAAAGGGGGAAATGAATTGTAAATAATTTGCTTAGAAAATAAAATCAGAAAATTTAGCAGAAAGATGCTTTTACACCCACTATGCCTGCCAGTTTTAGATGATTACCAGAATTATCTATTATATTCACATTTGTAGACGTTCTTGCCTGTCCTTTCAGTATGTATTTCTGTCTTTTTCTGTTTTTGATATTCTGGGTTTTCTGATAATTTGTTATACTTTAATGACCATCTCTTTTGAGGTGAATAAGGTAGATAATGAATTCTAGCAATCTGTTTCACATGGATAATACTTATCCAAGTTTATATTCCTCCTTACTAATTCATTGGTTATCTAGAGATAATTTATTAGTTCACCTTTCATCATTTTGGATATTTATTTTGAAATTCTCCTTTGCTGTCTCTGTTTCAGTGAAGCTAGCCTTGGCTTTTCCAAGTCCCTTGTTAGAACTTGTTGCATATTGTCTACAATTCCAAGGAATAAAGTCCTCTCCTGGCCAACCTCTCCCTATAACACAGGCCTACCAGTGCTGGCAACATCCTCATAAATCTTGTTTGCACACTTTCCAGTTTAACTATGCCTTTCCTATAGCAGGGTGACCAAAACTGTACACAATACTCCCAGTGCGGCTTCACCAATGACTTGTATGACTATAACATAACATCCCAACTCCTCTACTTAATGCCTCAACCGATTGAAGGCCAGCGTGCTAAAATGCCGCCTTCTCCACCCTGTCCACCTGTGAAACTGCTTTCAAAGTACTATGTACTTGTACTCCTAGGCCCCTCTGTTCCACAACACTCCTCAAGACCTTACCATTTACTGTACAAGTCCTACCTTCGTTTGACTTTCCAAAGTGCAACACCTCACACTTACCTGTATTGATTTGCATTTGCCAGTCCTCAGCCACTTCCCCATCTGATCAAGATCCCCCGTAATTATTGATAACCTCCTTCGCTATCAACGATACCTCCTAATTTTGTATCATTCGCAAACTTACTAATCATGCCTTGTACATTCACATCCAGATCATTTATGTAAATAGCAAATAACAAAGGTCCCCGCACTGACCCTTGTGACACACCATTATCACAGGTCTCCAGTCTGAGAAACAACCGTCAACCATTACCCTCTGTTTCCTACCTTTTGAGCCAATTTTGAATCCAATTAGCTAGCTCTCTCTGGAGCCCATTATGACCTAACTTTCATGACTAGCCTGCTGTGTGGGACCTTGTCAAAGGCCTTACTAAAATGTAGACAGCATCCACTGTTTTAATTGCAAAGATATGTTTTAGGAAGTAAGTCATTTTGTTTTGTTTGTGTTTACAGTTTGGTTGGACTCACGTAACGCTGCTAATTATTGTTACTCAATCTCATCTGGTGATCCAAAATTTATTTGAAGGCATGATCTGGTAAGTGAATTGTGATTCTCCCTCTTGCACATCTAGCTTCCCCAAAGAAGTGTGCAGTTTTCTCTTAAATTTTGGTTTCTATTTTCAACTTACTTTTCTTTCTGTTCCTTTTACTTTAACTTAATATCCTGAATTCATTCTGTCCTTTTACAGGTCAACTTCATACAATTTACTACTTTTCTGCAAATTCTTGATCTGTGTTGATCAATTTTAAAAGTAAAACTTTAACTATGTAACTGGAATCTGGTGGTTGGATTATGCTGTCCCATATGACAGATGCAAAATACTTGGTGTTTACTCTCAACTTTCTTGTATATGGTAGATACCCCTGTATTCAATAGAAAGTGAATAAGAGCCGAAAACGTTGTGAACATTTTCAGCTGCTTTGTGTTCAGTGACTGAACTTTAAAAAAAAATATTTTATTCTAGGTTTATTGTTCCAATCTCAATTGTAATTTGCAATGATATAATGGCATACCTATTCGGTTTCTTCTTTGGACGGACTCCACTAATTAAGGTAAGTCATCCTGTGGAAAATACTAAGATGTTGCAGTTGAACTATGTAATTTTATTAATTTGTAGGATGAGTGCTCTGTTAATGCTGGACAACTTTAAGTTTTATTGACGACCTAATTGTATTTTACACTTGAATTAACAGAAAACTTTTTGAACTGTGACTTGATGATAGTGCAGAACTTGAATATTGCTTAAAAGGGGGATGTATTTCCAAAGTGTTGCACTTATCTGGACAAATGCAAGAGTGCCAAATTTCAAATGATCAGCTTCAGAGGGAGAGGTATCTAGTTAGCAAGTCAATACTGGTCAATCATTGCTGCAGCAAAGTATTTGGAAGCTATAGACTTCCAAGCTTCAGTGTTTTTCATTAAAGGTGTGAGCCTTAAACAAATTCCTTTCCTTTGCGAAGAACAGGCCCCTGCATATGTTGAATGCATGTCATTTCTAACAAGTGTACGTGAGCCATGTTTCAAGCCTGACATATTATAAATTGGACACTTGTTTAGTTATTCGCTCAGCCGCTGTCCAATTTCAGATTCCCATCAAAAGGACATTTTTGTTGAGTTTTTTTGGGTTTGAATGAATATGGTTTGTAAAATAACTCCACCAAGGCCGGTATCCCGTCACCAAGTCACTCTTTATTTACATGTTCAGAGTACATGGCATTGACTGAACTAGCACAGAGCCGGCTCCTGGAGTGAGCAGAACCTGAAATGCTCCTGTTTATATCTATCAGCCAGGACTTCCTGATTGGACCAGGTTAGCAGCCCCAATCAGGGAACTCGTATCCAATGAGATCCACCTGGCTGACATTGTACCAATCGCTACAGTTTGTGCGCTTTATATTGTGAAAAACTGGGCAATAAATGCTGGCGAAGCTAATGATACCCATATCCCATGAATGAAGAAATATGCTTGTTTGATTGGATCATCCAGTTGCTGGGGCTTTGCCCTGGTCCTGAAATTCATACATCACATTTCTCAGTAGTGTGGTAGGTAGTGTGTCTTTTTGACTGATAGTGGCATTCTGTTGACAGAAAGTACCATTCAAGTGGCTTTTTAACGTGTAGGTTTATCATAACTTCCTAGTTTTTGATTCTGAATGGTTCAGCACCTTAAAACTATTGCTTTACTTTTTTGTGTCAGGGAATAGTAGTGGGGCTGTTGAGGATGGAGGAAATATACTAAACAAAGTTGGACTGAAGGATCTGTTTCTGTGCTGTACAACTCTGACTCTATGACTATCTGTGTTTTTTAAAAAAATAATAAACATCTGTCCCTTTGAAATAGCCTTTTTTAAAATTGTGGATTGAGGTCAAATGCAAATGTTATCAAATCATTTTGAAATGTATTTGTTTCTGTAGAGATTCTGTTTTGATCATATTGATCTGTCATTCAGTGCCATTCCAAGTTTATTGCACTGTAGGTTGATTTTAAATTTTGAGATTTATGGCTGCATCATATGCAGTACTGAGAGAGTGCTGCACTCCAGGTGATGCTCTCTTTTAACATACAGTTCAATCAAGGCTCTGACTGCTCTCGGAGATGGTTAAAGATCTGCAGCATTATTTTGAAAAAACAGCAGGCAAGCTGACACTCATGTCTGACCAATGTTTATCTCTCAATCCAATTAATTTTTTTTCTGTTTTACAACTGTAACTATACTTCAAAAATGTTTAACTGGCTGTGGTTGTAACACATTCAAGACCTCCTGAGGTCAAGGAAAATGTGATATAAATGCAAGTCTGTCAATCAATGTCACTTGTAGTTTATTGAACAGAACTTAATAATTATTATAGCCATTTAAATTTTCTATTAAATCTTATGTGATTTGATGGTTAATTATAATATCACTTGATATGTAGGAAAGTTCAGAAATTTAAAATTTAATACCCAATCTCGCATTTGTCAAAGTGATGTTAATTGCAAATGAGCAACGACAGTGTACATGCGGTATGGGGACTATTGAAGTTTTGTCAATTGTAATTTTTGGTAATAGTCAATGTGTTGCCAAATCTAGAGGGATGGTGAATAGTAAACAAGACAGGTTGGAATTGACAGAAATTAAATGGTTACAAAGATGGTTTGTATTTTAATATTGCTTGGAGGACTTCGTTTTGAAGGATTATGGCAAAAGGAATTCATTTCAAGTTTTAAGGACAATCCTGGATTGGTATCTTTAAACGTGGTACGTGCAAGTTTTAGTGTGGAGATTTTTGTTTTAAAAGCAAGGCTTCCTAGAGATCACATGCCTGGTGATAACTGCTGGCTGTAGACGTTCCTAGGTCTGGTTTTTGAAACGTTTTTGGCTTGGAGAGGTTCTTGTTTTATCTAGTTCAGTTGGAGGGAAACCATATAAAACCAGTTGGAGGGAAGCCTGTTGAAAATAAGCTGAATTGGAGGAAAGCTTGCTAAAGTCCAGCTAAAGTTTCCTATTCCTGAAAGGGGAATTTTCTACATAGGTTAAGAATGAAATCTTATTCACTCTTTTGAAAGAGTGATGGAAAGAGCATCTCAAGATTGTAACCTAAAACAAAGAAGTGTGTCTGTTGGAGTTCTGAAATAAAAACAGAAATTATTGGCAAAACTCAACAGGTCTAGCAGCATGTGTGCAAAGAAAACAGAATTAATGTTTTGAGTCTGGTGACTCTTCATCAGGACATCTCGAAAGGTTTGATTTCCTGAGCAAGCCATGTCTGCATGACTTGGGAGTCTATATGTTTCAGAACATCATTGCAGCAGAAGCTGGGACATTATATGTTTTAACTTTTTGCCTTTTAAGAATAACATGTTGGCTAACATTTTTCTTTCTTTCAGAAAGCCAATTTCTGCAAAGAATGTTTTTAAATCTTTTTCCTGGAGAGTATAAGTGTGTGTTTGCATGCTTGTGCTTGTATTTTCGGTTATTTATAGGGATGGACATTCCTATTTCTATATTACTGTCTCTAAGTTAACCAGCAATTTCATCTTTATTGAGTAAGTCTTGATTTGGTAGTAACTTATGGGTGTTTATTAAGAAACCTAGTTGATTGATCTTTTTTCTTAAGCCTAATATAGATAAGAAATTTTAATTGATCATCTTGGTAACTGGAAAAAGTACTTTATATTGTATGCTGTGACCCATAGACTAATGAGACTTGGACAATGGTACACTTGCTAAGCCTCTGTAAAAATGCGGCCAGCATTGGGTGAAAGATTAAGCCCTTTGTATCAGCTTTTCAGGCACTTTGAAGACATTGAAACAAAATATTACATTTATAATGACCTGCCCTGTTTAATCTATGCTATTTTGCAGTTATCTCCAAAGAAGACCTGGGAAGGTTTCATTGGTGGTTTCTTCGCAACTGTTGTGTTTGGATTTCTGGTGTGTTAAGTGTTTCTTATTTCACATTTTTATAGGAAGTGGAGATGGGTGATTCACATTGCAATGATCTGACCCACAAACCCTTTTCTTTGTTGTGCATGAATGCTTTATCTTACAATGTGTCCACAGCTACACAAAACATAATTTAAAGGGCTGAATTTACTATTTATAGTTGAATAATGTTGGAATAATTTTTAGTAGAAAAGATGATTTATAAAAAGTGTAATAGCTCTTTAAAAAATATTTTGAGCAGTTTGGTTTTAATTTTCTTTCTCCAGTTTGCCTACGCATTGTCAAGATACAATTACTTCGTATGTCCGGTGGAGTTCAGCAGTGAAACCAACAGCTTTATTGTTGACTGCGATCCTTCAGTCTTGTTCCATCTGCAGGAATACGCACTTCCATCTGTACTGCAGTCTATTCTTGGATGGGTGAGGAGTATATATTTTCTTAAAAGTTTACAGCTGCTTCTAACAATGCTTAAAATATGTATTGTGCATCAAAGGATGAATTAGAGGGGTGATCTGGACATAATTGAAACAGCACTGAATAAGGTAGAGATGGGTACGTGCAAAGTAGATTATGATTACAGATCTCGTGTAGATAGAAAGCTAATTAAACAGATCGTCCAGTTTATGTTGCCACAGAATTTATCATGACCATGAATTCTAGGAAACTGTTGAAATGGAACCGAGAACCATGTGGAGGCAGGAATCAAACAGAGAAATTTAGTTTTGTTGACATTGAGCAGAATAAATTTCAACTCTTCCAAGATTTGATATTGAAAAGCCAGTTGAGTGTTACAGCAATTGCTTTGTATTCTTCGGCAATGCAAAGACACAGGTTTGAGTGCTCTGAAAATATGTGGAATCTGACTGTGTGCTTTTGACCTACTTTAGTAACAAGCAGAATGTTAAATATGATGAATAAACTGACTATGGTACAAAAGGAAAATATACTTGAGATATGTGGCAGTTATATCAGAAAAGTTATGAATGGAAAAATGAGAGTACTGTGTACAGAGATGGACTGTAAAGAAGAATGGAACAGTTAATGTCAAGGAATACTGGCTATTTTTGTTTTTCTTTGTGTTTAATTGCAGATTGAAATGGGAAAAGAACTGTTTTTAAAAACCAGGGATTGATGAAGGGTTATTCATTATAAGCACTGTCTACACAGCTGCTGGTACAAGTAAGAGTAAGAGAGAGTGCAGATGAGCTTGGGCCAAGGGTGTGCATGAATAGAGATTGAACAGGCAACAAGCACCTGACTGGTGTGTAGACTTGTGACCAGTTATCAATAACAAGTGTTCTGCCTGCTAACAACTATGTGATTGGTTCTCCGGCAACTGAGCAGCTTCGGGCTGTGATCATGATAGTGAGTAGCCATCAGGTCTCCTCCAGCTCGGACTCTCTCGGTCTGCAGTAAAACCTGCTTTAAACCTAAAGAAAAGCAGTTTATTCTTCCTTCAGCAGTTGCTTTAAGTTGTGAAAAGGCCTCTAGAGGACTTAGTGTGAACTAACCACCCTGTACTACCTAAAAACCAATGAAAGAATCCAGGGAAGGAAGCTTGAGAAACGGTGCTCTGATCAACACGAACCATCTCAGCAGATCCTGTACAGGGACCACTCCGTTGCATTCCCAGTTGTTCCCTCTGTCCACAACACCTATTTGTTTTTTTTTTCTCGTGTGTGTGTGTAAAAATGGAAGTTTAAAACTAGTAGAGTTATATATGATTCATACTATTTAATTGTAGTTAGAGTTTATTTAGTTGCTGTATACACTCATGTAAAAGTTGAATTTTTAAAACTATTTTTAAGGTTAAATTTATGGGGTCGATTGTTACATGGATACTACTTTTGAGGGGCTAAAATTCTTGCTGCAGTCCAAAATACTCTATCATTAGCGGAAATGCTGATTTCTGATTACAAACTGGTGAAACTATAATATCTTCTAATTCAGCAGGCAGCTCTTGTGCAATTTTAGTATCTCGGCAGAGAACCAAGTCGTTCCTTCTCGTGAACCTTGTGCACCATCCAGCACTTTTTTTTTAAAATCCGAAATTCCATCCTCCTTTGATTCATTGTGTGCATGGATTTGGATGGCTACACGACTAACACATTTTCCATTTTGACAATTTTCAAGTACCTACTCAGCAATTTTATTCCTCCAATTGTGGCTACTTGCTAGGTTTACCTCTGGCACACTTTTGTTTTGGCATTGTCTGAAGTTGGTTCGATATCTTTATCTTTCTCCAGCCGGTCACAAGTTTCTCTGAAACACAAAATTCTCTTGCTGCTACACAGTTATTTGTCTTCTGTGCAACTTCAATAACTTTCAGTTTAAATGTTGCTGTATGTGTTTGATTTCTTTTTCCGGAGGGCGTTTTTACACAAATGATGAAATTTCAAAACCTCAACTAGGTATATGATTGTATTCCATGAGTGCTACAGGGAACTGAGCTCAGCTGAGCTGCACATAAAGTGAGGTTGCCACCTGACTCTGATCTGATGCATCTTAAACGTTCGTGCCAAATTGGTGTGAATTGTACAACAAACACAATAGCATGAAAACATTCATTTTCTCATCATAACATCCTAACAGGATAATACCTTGACTCTCAAATATTGATCTGTTATCTATGAAGAAGTAGGGTTGACTTTTACACGAGATTTATGGAAAATTCCAAATTTTTGGCCAAAAAATAGAGGGTTGACTTTTACTTGATCAACCTTTACACAAGTATATTTGGTATAATAAATAGTAATTCTTGTTAAGTGCAGAACCCTGCTCCATGCTTTTTCTTTACCTTGGTCTGAAAAACTGGTAAGGTGGGGAATTTTGTGCTCTTATTAAAATCTTTAACTTTGACAACTCTGGGAATAGCAGGGTTTGATTTCTCGCGCTCCACCGCAGAGCAGCATAACAGTCCAAACATGGACAAAAGAACTGAATTTCTGAGGTCAAAATACAGTGACTGTCCTTAGCATCAAGACAGTATTTGACCAAGAGTGGCATCAAAGAGTCCAAACAGAAGTTGATGGGAATCAGGGAAATAATTTTCCAGTGGTTGGGGTCATACTAACTAATTACAAATAAAGATGGTAGAAGTTTGAGTTCCGTTGTCTTGGGCCCAAAAGATTACTTGGAATTCCTCAGGATTATGCCCTCAGCCCAACCATCTTTAGCTAAATATTCATACAGTGAATTGGGGATGTTTGCTGATGATTGTAGTGCTGAATTCCATTTATGCCTCCTTAAATACTGAGCCTGTACCTGCCAGAGCAAGATTTTTGACAACATTCAAGCTTGGGCTGAAAATGGGTAAGTGACATACATGTCAAACAAGTGTTGGTCAATCGCCATCTCCAACAAAAAGAGCCTAGCCATCTCCCCTTGACTCATAATGACATTATGAATGCTGAATCTTTCATCGTCAGCATCCTGGAAGTTACCATTGGCCAGAATCTTAACTGGACCAGCCATAAAAATACTGTGGTTACAGTGCAGGCTAGATGTTGGGACTTCTTCAATGAGTAACTAACTTCGTGATTCCTCAAGAACCTCGACACCATTCAGGACAAGTCCACTTGATTGGCACCCCATTCTCCTCTTCACCACCACCACCACCACCACCCCCCCAGCCGAACCATTTAAGCCTTCCTGCATGAGCACAGTCACAACAGCATGCATAATTCACTGCGGTAACTCAACAAGCCTGCTTTAATACTTTCCTTCCAAGATTGTGATTCCTACCATCAAGAAGGCCAAAGACAACTGACACATTGGAACAATGCTGTCGCCAAGTTTCCCACCAAGTCATGACCATCTTGACTTGGAATTATGTTGCCATTACTTCTCTCTTATGAGGTCACAAATCATGGAGCTTCCTCTCAAACAGAACTACAGGTGCCATGTAAATTGTAGTTATTCTAAAGTGGCTCATCACCACTTGGGGGCCATCAAGCATGGGCAATAAAAACTGACCTCTCCACTGAAACACTCATCCCGTGAACGACTTTTAAAAAAGGAATTAAATTGGATAAAGTCCAGGGAATTCTTGAGAAAGAGACATATGAGTATGTTGTTGGTTGGCAATTTGTATGTGTATGGACTTGGAGAGGACAAATTAGTCAGACATGACAATGTTTTGAGAAAATATATGATGCATATGAAGTTCACATTCTCTTCTTTTAATTGTGATCTTCTTTTTCTCCCTCACCCCCTGCCCACAGGAAACTGTGCACCTATACCCATTTCAGATACATAGCATCGCTCTTTCTACATTTGCATCTTTAATTGGGCCTTTTGGAGGCTTTTTCGCCAGTGGATTCAAACGAGCTTTCAAAATCAAAGTAAGTATCACCATTGAATTAGCTTTCTATTTTTGTTCTGTGTAATGTACAATGTTTTTAAAACTAATTGATTTAAAGGAGGAGCATGCTTAAAAAGTCAATTGTTCTATTTTCCTCATTTATTCAAGGCTTTTCAATGATTACTTTGCCTTGAAGATGTTAAAAAATCTTAAGCTTTTGTATGTATTTGAAAATCAAGTTGATGTTTACTAAGTACTTTCATCTTAATATGCATTTTTTTCATCTCAACAAATCTCTTAGCAACAAATTTGATAATGTTATGTGGCTGTCAACAGTTAAACCTGTTGTGGTCAAAATTCTTGATTTTTGCTGGATGTCTAAAATAGAATTAAACTGTATTTTGACTGAATTTTGAGATTTTTCTCTTTTTTTGTGATTGTCTCATCATTAACATACTTGTGCAAAATTCATCTACTGTTAAATTTAATGTTCAATAATGTTATGACCACGAAACACATTTGTGTACCGATTAAAATTAAAATTGTCAACCAATATCTCAGGAATTTTCAATAAGCTAGTGAATAGTAATGCTGAGCTAAAGCAAGATGTTTCTCTGAAAAGGAAATAAATATTTTGAGGTTGATTTATAATCAGTTATTGATGGTAGTAGTATAGCAGCTGTTTAACTATCTCCTGTTTTGATCTCAATGTTTAATGGCAGGAGGCTGGAGAGAGAAGTGTCTGGTGCTTTTAAGGTGGTGTATTAAAAAAAGTTAGCATAGAATCGTAGAAAACAAGTGTATAAAATGTAGAGATTAAGGAAAATTTGGACTCTTTGGACAAATTCAATAACTTGTTAAAACGGAATGATTACTTGTGGAATATTTTTACTATTTTCTGCCTATGATGTTTGACTTGTATTTTCTCTAGGATTTTGCTGACACTATTCCAGGACATGGTGGGATTATGGATCGCTTTGATTGTCAGTATCTGATGGCTACCTTTGTCCATGTTTACATTACGAGCTTTATCAGGTGAGTTCCATGGGGCAGGAGCAGGCAGAAACAATAGGTCTTCCTGGGCAGTCCTGTTTGTGGATTTTGGGAAGAAGGTAAAAGTGGGCTGTAAAATGCCGGGGGACTGTGAGCTTGTTAGCTGTTGCAGGGAGATCACCAGATAAAATGAGATTAGCGATAGCCGTAGATACAATAGCCTGATGTTCAATGGTGGTGTCATGGTCCACGGGTGCTTAGGAGGAGTTGTCCCAGAACTGGTACTCGGCCTCCACAATGTAGAGGTTGGCACGCTTGATGACAAAGCCAGGGTTGGATCTGAGAGCATGGCATGCAGTAGGTTCAAGGATGTGGAGGCTGGTGAAGGAGTCTGTGGGACAAAGAGTTAAGTCTTGTTCAAAGAAATCCTGTTTCTTCAATGCGATGTTTTTCTCTCCCATTGTCGAGTCTCTTCCCCTTACATCTGTGATTCTTCTGACCCTTTGTCAGTTTCAGAATTTCCAGTTTGTGGGCACCATCCACTTCCTCTTCACTAAATAAATGCATTCCCCATCAGGTTGGTCTCCGGGTTCTTTGCTTCTTGAGAAAATAGCCTTGAACTGTCCCCATCGTCCTCCTCCCCCGGCTGAGCTTGTCCTCACTTTGAGCAACTTCTCCTTTAACTCTTCTCAGTTTCTTCAGATCAAAGATGTGACCATGGCTACCTTTATTAGGCCCTAGTAATGCCTGTCTCTGTGTGGGATTTGTGGAACATTGCTTGTTCCAATCCTACTGAGGGCCCTCATGACAAAGTCTTTCTCTGATATATCAATTACATCATTGGCATCGGTGCTGCTTCCCTCTTTCGTCCACAACTGGAAAAGTTTATCAATTTTGCTTCTAATTTCCACTCTGCCTTCTTCACCTGGTCCATCTCTCACCGCCCCCCTTCCCTTCCTCGACATCTGTTTCCTTTTCTGAAGATAGGCTGGCCACTGACATTCATCACAAACTCATCAACTCCCACAGTTACTTGGACTGTACATACTCAAACCCTGTTTCCTATAAGGACTCTATTCCATTCTCCCCAGTTTTTCCTTCTCCATGTCATCTGTTCTGATAGTGCCATCGTCTGCAGGGCGCCCTCAGAAACGTCCACTTTTTTCCTCAACCCAGCATTCCCTACCACAGGACCCTCCGCAATAGGGTGCCCCTGGTACTGACTTTCCACCCTGCCAGTATCCACATCCAAAGGACTATAAGCCACCATTTCCACAACCTCCAGCGGGATGCCACGATTTGACAACAATTTTCCCCTTTCATTCCCTTGCAGGGATCTTTCCCTCTGGGATACCCTGGTTCACTCCTCCTCCAATCCCAACACCACTCCACATCCCCACAGCACCTTCCCTTGCAATCGCAGAAGGTGTAACCCCTGCCTGCCGGTTTACCACCTCCCTTCTCGTTATCCAAGCCTCCATACACACCTTCCAGGTGAAGCAGTAATTTGCTTGCACTTCATTCAATCTAGCCAACTGTATTCACTGCTGATAATGTGGTCTGCTCTACATGGGGAGATGAAACACAGATGGGGAATTTCTTTGCAGAATACCTCCATTCTGATGGCAAGAATTAGCCTGAGCTTCTGATAGCCTGCCTCTTCAACACACCAATGTGTTCAATGATCAACATTTCTATCTTAGGCCTGCTGTAGTGCTCCAGCGAGGTTCAATGCAAGTTGGAAGAACAGCATCTCATTTTCCCCTAGGGGGGCCTTGCAACCTTCAGGATCCAACAGTGCGTTCAATAATTTTAGGACCTGAGCACCATGTCTTATAAAGGATAGGGTGAATAGCCATGGTCTTTTCCCTGGGGCGGGGAGTCCAAAACTAGAGAGCATAGATTTAATGTGAGAGAGGAAAGATAAAGGAACCTAAGGGGCAACTTTTTCACACAGAGGGTGGTGCATGTCTGGAATGAGCTGTTGGGGGAAGTGGTGGAGGCTGGTACAATTACAATATTTAAAAGGCATTTGGATGGGTATATGAATAGGAAGGGTCTGGAGGGATATGGACTAAATGCCAGCAAATGGGACTAGATTAATTTAGGATATCTGGTTGGCATGGACAAGTTAGACCGACGGGTCTGTTTCCATGCTGTACAGCTCTCTGACTCTGTCTATTACCCACCCCACACTCCTGGCCCTGTCTTTGCAGCCAACCCTGTTTCACCTATTGATGGTCGATATAGCTTTTCTTTCTTTCCCAGCTCACCACCATCCATTCCCTTGTCTGCCTGACTGCTGACATCTCTCTATCTCTGGGTTCCATCTCCACCTATCATTTACTCCTTTACACACTTGCCCCATTCCACACCCCTGTCTTTAGCACATATTCCAAATTTTCCTGAGCTACAATCATTTCTGAGGGAGTGTTGCTGGACCTGAAACATTTGACTTTACTCTCTCTCCATAGTTGCTGCCAGACTTACTGAGTTTCTCCCAGCAATTTCTGTTTTTTGTTTCAAAATTGTGCCTCTGGTTCTTGATCCTTTTATGAGTGGGAAGTATTCCTTCTACCTCCTCTGTCCAGACCCTTGAAGACTTCCCTCAAATTTCCTAGCCTTCTCCTCTCCAAGAAAAACAGTCATAACTTCTCCAATCTTTCCTCATAACTGATATTTCTCATCCCTTGTACCGTTTTCGCAAACCTCTTCTGTACTGTCTTCAAAACAGTCAAATCCTTCCTGTAACATGATGCCCAGAAATGTGCACAACATTCCAGCTAAGATCTAATTGGCATCTTATACAAATTCATCATAATTTCCCTGCTGTTGCCTTCTCTGTGCTTAGAATACTGTATGCTTTATTTAGAGCTCTCTGTCTGTCCTATTACCTTAAATTACTTTTGTGCATATACACCCATGTCTCTCTGCTTCTGCACATTCTTTATAATAGTAACCTCTATTTTGAACAGTTTCTCCCTGTGTTCTTTGTACCAAAACAAATCACCTTCTAGTTCTCCACATTGAATATGACTTGCCACTTACCTGCCTACTCCACTAAGATGTCAATATCCTTTTGAGGCTCTACACTGTCCTTATCATAGTTTACAATTCTCCAAAGTGTTGTGTGAAGTTGTCCCCTGTGCACCATTTATTTTTATCTGGTAAATCAAGTCCCCAAGTCCTTGGAACACGACTATAAACCTTTTACCAGCCTGAAAAGTACCCATTAATCATTACTGTCTGCTTCTTGTCCTTCAGTCAATTTTGTACCAATGTTACTACTGTCTCTTTTATTCCATGACCTATAACTTGCCTCATAAGTTTGTGTGGCACTGTATGGAAAGCCTTTGGGAATTCCATGTATACCACGTTACAGTCTTGCCTTCATTAAATCTTTCAGTTCCCCTTCAAAAATCTCCCAAGTTTGGATAGACACAATTTTCCCTTAGTATGTCCGTGCAGACTCTTTACATCAGTCCACATTTCTCTGTGTGACTATTAATTTGATCTTGAACAATTGTTTCTTGAAGTTTCCCACTATTGAAATTGAACCTGCTGGTCTGTAAAATGCCAGACCAGTCTTTATAACCTTTTTTTTGAATGAGAATGTAATCCTAGTGACTCACCAATCCTCTGGTACCATCTCAGAATCCAGGGAAGATTGAAAGATTATTGCCAGTGGCCTACTCCTCCTAATTTATATGTTTGTAATTTAAAATAATCCTTACTGTATCCAATAGGGAGTTAAAACATGCCAAAATATGGTATGCATGTGGAAGCCCCTACCAGAGGAGTAGTTGAAGTGACCACTATGGATGTATTCAAGGAAAGCTAATTAAACATTCAAGGGAGAATGGAATAGAAGGTTACAATGATAGCTGTAGGTGAGGAAAGTTGGAAGCTGGCACAAATGGAGAATAATTACAAGCTTGGAATGGTCAGGCTGAATAGGCCGTTGCTTTGCTCTGTATTCTACGCAATTCAGGTCTATACTTTTTTTTTAAAGTATCTTTGGATTAGGTGTGGTATTTCAAGGTTCACTAGATTAGTTTTGGAGTTGAATCTAAGTACGTTTAGCCTGTACTTTGTGGAGTTTAGAAGAATGAGAGTGATCTCATTGAGCCTGTCATTTGCCGAAATCACAACAGTGACTGTATTTCTAAAAGAATTCTTTTTCAATGCCCATCATGGTTGTATCTGTCCATAGATGAAAATTTCTCGATTTGAATAGTACACTTCGAACACAAGGAACTATTAACTGGAATTGCTGATTACGTAAAGAGTTATTTAGGCATATCTAACCTCCAAACTAACCCTGCAGAATTGATCCATTAGCAACAATTTAAATCTTGCTACCAGCAGCAACCACAAAATCAATCAGTGGAATGATTCCAAAATATTCATTTTATCTTTTCATTTTTATTTTTGAGTCATTTGACAATGTAGGCATAAAACCAGGCTAAAAAATTTCTATTTTAACTTGGGTGTATATTTTCACATCTCCATCCTGTCAAGAATATCAAAAGCCTTGCTCCAAAACTCATTTCTAATTTTTGCAGGGCAGATTTTATATTTTAGCTTTGCACATGCACTGTTCAGTGATAGCTGGCCATTTAAATGATCAGCTGTCTCCACTTCAGTTCCACTCTAATAACAGCATTGTGTGCAATTCCAAGTAGATTTGTTCTCAGTGAATTCTTGTGAAAAGCCAGGATACTCCTTTGAAGATAACTTCATTTTGATAGTTTCATTAGGAGAGTAATTTTACATCAAAACTTCTCTAAAAATTCACAAATTCTTGAGCCCAAATTCATTTCTGAAATCTGCTGAAAAATGTTGTACAAATGCCAACTATATTTCAGTTTCCCGTGGCACCATCCAGAAGCAGAAAGAGACGTAAAGGAAATATCAGAATCCATAATTTCTCTTGTCCTCCCCCGTCCTGAATATTCCCAAAAAGCATTTTGAATACTAAATTTTAATGCCATTATGAATATAGTACCATCTGTGGTTAATGTTTTTCTGTTTCATTCTGGTCTTTTGCAGGGGACCAAATCCCAGCAAAGTCTTGCAGCAGCTGTTAGTACTTCAACCAGAACAGCAGTTACATATCTACAACATTCTGAAATCCCATCTAATAGAGAAAGGAGCACTTCAGCCAGCAATAAATGAACAGTAGTATTTGGATATCTCTTGTTCTTCATTAAAGTGCTGAAAACTGCATGCTTCTAAGTCAGGAGTCATTTGGAATTTCTAAAATACACAATTTAAGGTGGTTTCTCCTAGTCACAATGTCAAACACTTTGGTGACTGAGACTTGCTTATACTCTGTAATGCTTTACACTGTGAATAGAAAAACAAGTACAGAGTCAAATGATCAACAGTTAGTTTGAAACATACCCAGTAATATAATTTCAATGAAAAATCCTGCAATTAATCTTAAAATCTCAGATCCAAACTAAAATCTTTAATGTTAAGATTTATGGTCCTTTCAGTTTAATAGTTGGGGTTACACTTGAATTTATTGTGCAAGGATTGATACTAATTTCTGTATTAGTACTGTAATAATTATCAAGATTACATTTGTTTTCACTTGTTTTGAGCATGATCTCTAATGAAAATATTGTAGATATGTAGGAGTCTGGTAATGTAACTGCATCAGAATTTATATTGTAACAACGCTATTAATATTGGGTAATCTTAGTGTGTGGTTTTAATGGCTGTAAAGTAGAATACTGGTCAACCCTCTAGTCAGTTCTGCACAATGAGAGAAAACTTACCTGAAGTAAGTGATTTGGAATGACATTTATGATACAGTTTTTATTTTTAAGTGTGCTTGAACTTTTGCAACAAAGTGGGCTGATTAAAGCCAATGATCCATGAGGATTAACCTTGTGGCAGATGGCACAGCACTGGGTGTATATAATCTTTAAGTATATACATATTAAATATATATATATATATAAGAGAGAGAGAGATACAAGAACTATTTGTAATCATTTATGAACTTGAATGTATTTAAATAGAAGAACAATTTAAGTTTGAATTGTGCTGTAAAGCTGAGGGGATTTTAAATTTTATATAGTATGTATAAATTTGCCACCTATAGATGCAGGTAATATTTGCAAGGTGAAACTGGAATGCAAAAAATAAGGAATGATGCCTTGAGCCAACATTTCTTGGGGAAAAATGTTAAGGCTTATTGCTGCAAGGAGGGCTACAGCATTATAGATCGCTTTGATTTTCTGACCTGCACCTCTTCACTGGTAGTATGAAACCCCACGGATCAACACTTAGTAAACTACTGAAGTAGTGTGCCTTTAGGAAGCCAAGCATATTTTTTTTTTTTTGCTGATTCCACTTAAATATATTGTAGAATAGTCTGAAGTGTTTAGCTGGACCACGATTGACTGTTTTAGTTTATAATACTCCAGCAAGATAGTACACCTTTCAGTGATCCACGTGAGTTGCATTCTAAACTATTCAAAATTTTTACTGCATAATGCATCTTGGTTACATCCTCAATAATCCTGTTTGAATTATGAAGGAAACTCTGGTGGTTCAGTTGTTTATGGAAGTTCCCTTTCAGAGTTTTATTATCATTGTAGAATTTCTTAATTGTTTGTTTCTTTGTGACGTACGTTTTCATTATGCAGGTTTTAAATCTGAAATGCACAAGAATAAGGTGATGTACTGCTGCAAAAAAACAATAAATTGCTGTCATTCAGAAGGCATTTAGCTGGAACCTCATGACATACTTGTGATAAGGCTCAATTGCACTATTGCAAATTGCACATTTTTTAGATATTGATTTTAATATAGATTATTTGTGTACAAGCAGCACATTGTAATTGTCTAAAATTTTCAGAAATTTTTCAAATTTTAGATCTTTAAATCAGGTTTAAGAGACTGCTTTAGGAAGATGGCGAGCATTTATACCAGGGTGGTTTAGCTGACAGAAGTTATCTTTTTCAGAAGAAAGCCGAGTCAACCCCTTGACCTAAATCCATCATTCAGTTAGTTCATGGCTGATCAATGTCTGCAATCACCCTGGTTTAATAACCTGAATTTGTATGCCTGACAAAGATCTAGCATCAACAAGGAAAGAGATTCAGATTCTCACTACGCATTGTTTGAAGAAATGTTTTCTTGCCTTGACGGCTTAGCTTCAATTTTAGGATTATACCAACTTATTCTGAACTAGCCCACCAGTGTAAAGAGTTTCTGCCATATCAATTCCTTTGATCACTATAATTAGTGCACCCCCTTCAGCTTCTGTTATTCAGGAGAAATCTAGCATGAAACATCTAAGAAGCTACATACTGCAATTGCCAGAAATCTAAAATTTAACAAAGTGCTGCAAGTACTCAGCAAGTTAGACAGCATCTGTACTAAGAAATAGTTGAAGTTTCTGGGATGACAGCTTCCTTCAGTATAGTCATTTTGCACTGTTAGTGAACTGAAGAACTTTTCACTGATTTTTTTTTTTAAAAACTAATGCTTTGTGACTGGCTTATGTTCCTACATTCGTTTGTACTACGCTTTCTTAAAATAAACAGTTTCCTCTTCCAAATGTTGAGCCTTGCAAAGGTTTTTGGGAGTTTGGAATTAAATAGCCATGCAAACATTTTTTTCTTCTGGGGAATTGGGTCTTAACTTTTTAAAAATGATCTTGTGACAACATTAACAAGTCAATCTATTTTTAAGCATCTTTAAACACACAAACTGCAGCTAATGTATTTTATGTACACTTAACAAGGTGACTTAGCCAGTTTCATTAAAGAAATATTGAACAATGAAAGCAGCTTTTTGAAATGTACAAGAAAATCAACAAATGGAATTCTGAGATTAAAAATAGGAATTACTGAAGTACGCACCACTTGAAAATAGAAAATGTGTTAATGTTTTGGTTTGAGTGCAATCAGAAATGGAAGCTGATGTAATTCTGTTTTCAGACATCAATAAAAAGCCAAATTAATATGTTGGCTTATTTACTAGTAGTAAGATTCCTATCATTGACATTAGTGCCTGTACCTTCCATGTGAATGTTGAGAATGACGAAGGGAGCTATTAAACATCAAAAAGAATACTCCAGTATTGTAATAGTTGATTAATCCTTTCAAAATGTAAACCCTGCACCAAATACACAGCAACCTTTTCACTATTCCTGCTAAATGTAAATTTTGTGCGGGAACTATATGATGGTAATCTTGTTCACCAAAGATAAATATACTAATCCCTAGTGCAAAATTTACAAAAAGAATGTCACACCCTTTAAAACCCATGTCCCTAGCTCAGCAACCTTGGACAGATCTATTACAGTTGTTACAGAGATAGTAGGAACTGCCGATGCTGGAGAATCTGAGACGACAAGGTGTAGAGCTGGATGAACACAGCAGGCCAAGCAGCATCAGAGGAGCAGGAAGGCTGAGGTTTCGGGCCTGGACCCTTCTTCAGAAATGGGGGAGGGGAAGGGGGT